CGGAACGTCGCACCGGGCCTTCGTCGCAAGAGGACCTCTACCTCCTCCAGCGACAGCATGGCGTTCGAGTGGTGCGTTGGTCACTTTGTCGTCTGAAATTCACGGCGTCACATTCGAAATCTGTCTACTGTACACCCGCCACGGAAGCGTGTGCATTGTATCATCTCATGCCTGGAAGAACATGAATGGCTTGACCTATCGGCTGGCACGTGCAATTCCGACATGAAGTCGAGCGCATGGCTGGCGTCGTTGTGCGAATGTTCATGAGCGGAGCCACGTAGAGCACTACGCCATGAGCACCGGCGGTCGGATCCACCGACAGAATGGTCCAAGTCGAATCGCTTGAGCTGCAGCACGACATACGCATCCAACGAGGTTGTTTGCCACAAACGTCCACCTGAGCAAGCGGCATTCGCTGCAGTGGCAAGCCGGGCACAGCGATGCTAATGCGAGCCCCATACCGGTTGTAACAATACTCGAGATCCCTCCAGTGGCCCCTGCGGCCATGCCGCCGATCCTGGGTATCACACGCGTGCAGTTGGAGCTGTGTACTGAAGATGGAGACGAGTCTGGAGAAACGTGGCTGGCACGAGAGTGCCCCAGATAGCTCCGTTTCTTGCGCCGTTTTGTGCATGTTCGAGGGCAATTGCAATGAAGCGCGACGAAAACAGCTCCAGCGCGGAACGCGTGTGGACCCCATCGGCGATGTTTTCTCCGAACGGTCCTTTCTCAACGTGCCGGTCGGACGATACACGTTCCTGCCATGCCGAGCTGTTCTCGCAGAGGTCTGACTAGCTGCCCATGCTGACATGAGTCGTGCGCGTGATCGCCGTGTGGTTTAAACGCCAGCTCGGCTTGGAGCTGCGTTCGTTGTGACGGCATCGACTTCCTCAAGTTATCGTGCCCGTGATGCATGTGCAGGTTTGGTGGCGGCTTCGTTCGTCGAGCCGACGCCACCATGGACACGCGTCATGATCGGTTTCGACGGGACAAGATGGTGGTCGTGAGATCCATGGCGACAAAATGGTCGACTGGATTAGTTGAATAGTCTGTTGAAGCTGCACGATGTTGACAAGTTGCGACGGGGCTGCATGATGCGCGGGATTTCACGTGTCGCCCGCCTTGGCAGCTGCAGCTCGAACGATGGCAATGTCGACGGCCCGCTTGAACGCCACTTCCAACTGCTTGCCGCCTTCGAGGAACGTACGCAGGGCAAACGGCAGCTTCGCGACGCGATCAGGTGCCGGACTTCGGCCAGGAAAGTTGCCGCGCACATCCGGGTCGACAAACTCGAACGCGTGAACGGCTTCCATGCAATCTTCAGCAATTTCTTGGAGGGTGCTCAGGTGGGCGCCGTTGATGCACACCACTTGCAGCATCACCCGAAGCCGCGTCGATCCATCGGGTTCCGCGTCACACAGCTCCATCCTATGTCGCGATTCAAGTGTCGAGTCGACGAGGATGGGTGTACCAACCAGCCCCAGTCGTTCTCGACAACGCCGTGCGCCATGTGTGGCACCAACGCATCATCCAGCACGCTGCGCCACACAATCACATGCCGCTTTTTGTCGTCTCGATCGTCGCCATCGTCGTCGTCGCCTTGATATCGCTTCCACACAACGTTCGAATGCGCCACTTCGTCACCATCGCTGTACTGATTTGCCACGTACACCGTCGACGCGTCAATCCTTTCAACGTTCTAAACAAAAACCACGGATTGATGCAGGATGCAGCCAGATTGGGAAGACGGTAAGATGGCAGCGGTACCCGGGTGGCTCCAGGAGGTAACGTGGGGCTGTTGGAGCCGCTGCACACGTCCCACACGGCGTTTGCCAGCATGACTGGCGGCGCCGGTATCGTAAATTGGTACGAATATTCAATGATGAGCTTGGATGCGTCTTGTGGATGTATCCTTGGCGCCACATGCATCCCGTCTTGGGTCCTGCTGACCAAGCCCGACGCACGGAACGCACTGTCGAGCAGATTGTACTGGCGATCAGCGATGGCGTGCATGGCCACCACACGCAGCGCAGCGTGGGCGGCGAGTTTGCATTCTTTCCACGCGTCCGACGCAGCACCGTCCATCGTGAGCTGCCATGAACGAATGAGGACCGGAACGAAGGCAAACCCTGACAGCATACCGTTAGACGAGGACGTTTGCTCAACACTCGGCTCATGTCGTCGATGAACGTGGCGTTGTGCTGGACATTCTGACGGAGACGTTCGTTCTCGTATAGTGCTTTGCCGGCGGCGAACTGTTCCTCCCGCGCAGCTCGTTCCCACGACGACACGGTCGACGACTTGAGTGCGTCGCGCTGGGCACCCAAGAGGCTCGCCTTCAATGCTTGGACTTCCAAACGTAGAGATCGAATCTCTTGTCGTTGGCGCTCGCGGAACTTGTTGATTTTGGGAGGCTTTGTCGGAGGCGGCGAGGACGATTCGTCGCTTGTACACGCAATCGTGTTCATCGCCTCATCACTCAACGTTGACGACGGTTCGAGGAGATCGGACACGTAAGCGAGCTCATCGTCGAGCACGTTGTCCGAAGCAAACAGGAACGGCAAGTCCTGCAGCACATCCCATGGCCGGTCGGCGTCGGACTTGTCGGCGGCCATCGCGTGGTTGCTTCCAACAAAATGGAATGTATGTTCGACTGAAAGTGAATGTATATTCTGCACCAAACGCCATCATCAATATATTTATCCTGAAATATTCAAACACGCCCCCACGAGGAACAATTCAATTATATAAAATGGATGAAAACAATTTTTATTTTAATACATCATATGCGAAATATAAGTTCTCGTCCATTCCACAACTACAAGCGAAACCACCGATGTGCGAAGCGAACGCGATGTTGGAGAGCGCTGGCGATGGCGATCTGGACGTATGGAAGGATCTGCGCTTCTTGCTGGCCACGGACGATGATCTGCATGAAGATTTGGCTCATGTGTGCGATCTCTTGGACGCCTCAAGCGCGGAAGACGATACGCAGCAAGTTCCTACTCGCAGCAGCTGCACATCGGAGGTGATACCGGGTCAGTCGAACCATTCGACAGGAACGGGGCACAAGCGAAAGATGTCAAAGAATGCACCACCTCGCACAGATCTAAAAAATGCATACGAGTCGCGGCAAAAGCATGAGTTGTATGCTCTTCGCCAGCAAGTCGACGTCTTGCGCGCCGAACTCGAGCGTCGACAAGCAGCAGCGTCGTCGGCGGTAGCTGTCACCTCTTTCGCATGGCAAACGGCAGCGCGACAGGAGTTCATCGCAATGAATCAAAGTCTGCGGGAGCGTGCTCAGCTCCGCGACGCCATCGACGACAACACAACTTTCATCGACCGGATGCAGTTGCTCCTCCGTCGAAAGAAGCCTCGTATTCCCGCGGTACTAGCGCTCGTCGCCATCCATGTCGCCGTGTTCATCCTTTCCATGTAGCCTGAACAACTCGACTGGCAGTCGTTGAAGCTCGCCGCGCACTCGTCGCTTCGCACGGCCGCAATGCACGCCATCGCTGACCGCCAATTGCGACGGCTCCAGTCCGCGTTCATCCAGGCCAGCGTGTACGAGTCCGCAGCGGACGTCTTCAACATTGACACCACTTTGGTGGCGAAAGGTCACGTCCAGATTCGAGTCGTCGAACACGTGTCGCTGCCCGCTCCATGGAACGTGATTGGCGACGCGGTGTGGGACGTGTTTGGCGGGTTGCGCCGGCCCGCCTTGCCGCCCATGGCGTCCGAGGTACGTCGTCTTTCAAGGTGTTATGCCCATGGGCTGTATTAGACATTGGAAGAAATCGAATCCGTGGACAATGTCCACAGCGGCTGCACTACCACGACCATCTACTCGACGTACAAAGAAATTACGAGCGACACAAACCTTGCCGTGTATTCCAACGTGATTCGAAAGCGATACCGCTACGACGCTGCCAAAGACATGATCGTGTGGAGATCAGTCAAGGAAGACGCGCGCATGCCGCAGGCGAAGGACTCGCCGACAGAGGACGAAGCGGGATGGTATGGAGGTGGCACGATATGTACCGATCCCTTGATGCGATGGTAGGTGCCAAGTTGTGCCGGTGGGAGGAAACCAGTGCCGACTGACTATCGTGCTCCACTACCACATCGACTACACCCAGCGCTTTGTCGACCAAGCGCTCCAGGCTGCGCCCCCGTCGGTCGAGTCAATCACATCGCTCATGGACAAGTTTTCGTTTGTGCAACCGCCGCCGCGCCCAGGCATGGTGCGAGCCGCCCCCATGGCCCCTGTCATCGACGTCTCGACGATCCCGACCCCCAGCAGAGGCGCGTTCTTTTACAAAGCCAAGCGATTCGAAATTGCCCTCAAGGATTCTATCCGAGATGCCTTGGCTTGGTTCAACGCGCCTCGGCAAGCAGAGACATGAATCGAGGTCCGAAGCTCCTCGTACGGGGAAACATGCTTTGTGGCGACCGCTCGTCCTGCAAGTGGTGTGTCGACGCAGCTTCAAGGCATGGTCGCGGAGCACAAGGGTGCATCGCAGTGCCTCGTTCTTCATGCGCCACGTGCTTGTATCGATCCCAGTGCTCCGGTTGAACCGTGGTGTGCAAACCACACGTTGTAGTGTAGTCGTGTGCTTTGAATCATTGTGAATGCCAGACCCGACGGCGCGCATACACATCGAATTAGGTTCCTTCAACTCTGGGCTGCTTGTTTGGCACGATATGCGACGACTGCGTCGTTGATCGATAGCTGCAGCGCCAGTTCCAGCCGCTTGCCTCGATTCATAAACTGCACACCGGCATCTCCCTCGACATCTTTCGGCGGCGGCGGTGGGCGCACCACCGATTCCCCAATGGACAATTTGTCCACAAACGCCGTGATGTTTTCCTCGAGTTTGTCGCCACCGTACGGGCAAATCATGTCCGGACCGCACAATTTCTGGGGGACTTGGCCCAGCAGGGTCAAGCGGCACTGCGCCAGGTCTTCCGGCACCGGCGAGATCACTATCCTACAGCAAGTCGCATTTCAACGGCGAGGACATTTGTCTCACTCTCTTCGTACCACCCCCATTCGTTCTGGACGTTGCCGGTCGCCATGGTCGGCATCAGGGCGTCTTCGAGCACGGCGCGCCACACGATGACATGCCGGTCTGGCTCGATATACTGCTTGTGGATGACGTTGACATGGCTCGTTTCTGTCGTCGAACCGAGCTGCTCTGTGTACTTCATGTAGACCGTCCGTTTGTCCAGTATTTCAAGCGCCTGGTGCGACCACATGAGGCAATTCGCACACTCAGAAGGCGTACCCGTTTCGCGCCGTCCGCCATCGTCGGCGGCCGCTCGCCGTTGTACACTTGCCAGCAGGCATGACCGACCACGTCGTACGGCGCCGGCAACGTCAAGTGATAGATAAACTCGAGCACGTTGCTGCCGTCGGGAAGCGTCCTTGGCCCTGCTTGGAACAGCACGTCCGCACGCTCAAACAGCCCCGCCACGATGAACGCGTTCTGTTGGCGCGCAAACTGACGATCAGCGATCGCGTGGATTGCCGCCTCTCGCAACGATGCTTGCGCGGCGAGCTTGTACTCTTGCCACGTATTCAACGAGATCTCGTTGTCCATGGTCTAGCGCGAGGAAATGAATCAAACGCGAGAAGGACGGTCCTTACCGACAGCCGTGGCTTCTTGGCAAAGATAGTCTGCATGTGCTCGATGAACGTGGCCTGCTCCGTCACGGCGCTTCGAAGCTGTTCGTTCTCGCGCAGAGACTTGTTCTTTTCGGCAAGCTCGCGTCGGGCGGCCTTTTCCCACGCCGACACACCTGTCGACATGAAAACGAGGCTGTCCTTGGATTGCCGCTGCGCCAATTGCGCCTTTAGCTCCTTCACTTGCGCCTGCAAGCTCAGGATTTCGTCCTTTTGACGCGTTTCAAAGCGGACGGCAGTGCCGACCTTGCGCTTCGTCTGTCGTTTCCCCAACACGAGCGGTGGCGTTGGCGGGTGGTGTTTGGTTGGAGTTGACGACGCATCGCTTTCTTCAGATGTGGTCTTGTCGGCAACATCGACAGAAGGCCCACCATCATCTCCATCTACACCCGTTAGGAGGTCACACACATGAGCGAGATCATCTTGGAGCTGGTCGTCCGATGCGATCAAGAAGTGGAGGTCCCGCACGATGTCCCACGACTCGTCTTCCATCGCGTGCGTCATTGTTCGGGTTTCCTCCAGAACAATGGAAAGTATTCCGGATAAACGAGCTTTTATCCGGTACATCGATTACGGCACCAGGACCGGCCCGTCAACTGGACACGTTGAACGAGATGGGAATGACGAGAAGAGATGATCGCTGCGCCGAGGGGCGGGCAATGCGCGCGGTCGAGGTTTGCATGCATGGCGAGATTGCACCGTGACCGTGCGAGTCTGGAATGCGAGGGTTTGCCATGGCCAGCTCTTGCACAGTCATCGTGTTGTCCACGGGTTGGTTGATGCTTTCATTCACCACGTACTGTACGATTACAGATCCCACGATGGAGGGAAAGCTCGCGCCGCAAGGATATCGGTCGCTCATGCAGTGATGGAGCATGCCATCGTATTCCAATGTACCAGCGGGCTATCGCAACCACATGGTCCAACACTGCGTCTTTCAGGTTGGTGTCTTCAAGCGGCATGCTCAGTCAAGGGCCAAGGCGACATGAGCGGTCGTGATGACCTTCTACGCTCCAGTATACTTCATCTACTTGGCGAAACGCAATCCCTGACAAGTTTTGTGCTGCTGCTACGACATGGGGCAGTCAACCGTTCACCACACACGTCCTTCTTCGACAACGACCTTTCAGCCGTCGATACGGCAGCCCCACTTCTCAACAGCATGAAGGACAAGGCTCACTGAATCTATCCATGTCCGTCGCGACGTCCCAAAAAACGCTAGGCGGTCTGACTAAACCACGCGTGCACCTTTGTCATGCAGCTCGTCGAACGTGCCGTCCTGGGAAAGCCGTCGCAGCTTGGCATCGGCGCGCGCGCACAAGCGGCGTCGCTGTCGTGGCAACCTTTCAAGATCGTCATCGGTATGTGATCCATCCGGATACTAGTCCCGGATGTGGTCCTGGCGATAGTATTATCGTGCCATCGATTTAATTTCGAGGATGTCATACAAATATCAAGTGCAACAATGGAAAATTGAATTCGAGGTGAAAAATAATATTCCCACGCTCTGCCAGCCAATTGAATTGCCCATTGTTTTTGGTTGGTGCATCAAATTCAGTTGGGGCTGCAGCATGGACGGGTCCCGGACGGACGTGATGGCCAAGTTGCCGCAGCTGCAGAACATGATCAAGCGCGATCCGTCGGCGTACCGCGATGAGTTCATGATGCAGTTGCGCCACTACGAAAGCGAAGTCGCGATCTTCCGCTTGCAACCGAACAAGCAGTCGGAACACTTTGGCGCGCTTGTCACGTTCCTCTCGCACGTATCGACGTGCTACCCGACCGAGCTCGCGGCTTTCCCGCAGGATCTCGTCTACCTCTTGGAGAAGCATGCAGCCGTGTTGGAAGCAAGTCTGCGCAAGACGCTCGTCCAGGCGTTGATCCTCATGCGAAACAAAAACATTGTCGACGCCCTCGTGTTACTCAAACTCTTCTTTGAGCTCTTCCGCATCCCGGACAAGCGCCTCCGCGAACTCGTGTACTCACACATTGTGTACGACATCAAGAAGATGCACACGGACGGCGGCGGACGCAATGAAAAGGTCATGCGCGGGCTACAGAACTTTATGTACTCGATGGTGGCCGACGAACATGAAATCGCCGCGATCAAGTCGCTGCACGTCCTCATTTCACTCTATCGCAAGCGTATCTGGTGCGACGCCCGCACGGTCAACTGCATCGCGACCGCGTGCACCTCCAAGAACACGCGCGTCCTCGTGACAGCGATCCAATTTTTCCTCGGGATTGACGCCGACATTCTCGAAGACGACGAAGCGGAACAGGTCAAAATGAAGGAACAGGTCGAAGTCAACTACCATTCGTACTCGAAGAAGACCAAAAGCCGGTACAACCACACGCGGGCGCAACTCGTAAAGAATCGCAAGGCGCGCAAGCGGAACGTCGAGCATGACGGGACGTTTCCCGCCATTGATTTGCTCAACGACCCGCAGGGGGTGGCAGAGCGCCAACTGCGCATCCTGAAGGCATCCAACGAACGCTTTGAAGTGCGCTTGCTCATGATGGACTTTATTGGACGCCTCGTCGGCCAGCACAAGCTCGTGCTGTTGGCATTCTACCCGCTGCTGCAGCGATACTTGACGGCGCACCAGCAAAAAGTGACCAACATCTTGGCGTATTTGGTTCAAGCTTGCCACGACGAAATTCCGCCAGAGGAACTCATGCCCGTGGTCAAGACGATCGCCAACTCGTTTATCGTCGAACGATGCGCGAGCGAAGTCATTGCGGTGGGCATCAACGCCGTCCGCGAAGTGTTTGCCCGCGTGCCGCTGGTCATGGACGAACCTGGTATGGACGACTTGATCCAGGATCTCATCATGTTTAACAAGAGCCGCGACAAGACGTGCGTAATTGCGGCCCGTGGCGTCCTCAACTTGATTCGGGAGATTCATCCGAGCTTGCTCAAGCGCAAAGACCGCGGGAAATTCCACAACGAAACGGCGCGCCCGAAGGCGTTTGGTGAATATCGGTACACGCACGTTGCTTGAAACTGTGCATGGCTGACGATGTCTTGTCTAGCGCGGCGGAGGGGGTCGACGGTGCGGAGCTCCTCATGGAAGCGGAAGCTGCAGGGCGCTTCGACTATGAAGACAATGGCGATGGCTGGGCCGTGGACGAAGAGATGCTCGATGCCGGCGACGAAAGCGACGGCGGGTGGGTGGACGTTGACGGGTCCGACGGCGACAGCGATGGGTTGCATTCGGATTCGGAAGACGACGAAGCCGACGACGACGATATGGAAGATGGCAGCGACGAGGACGCCGCACCAAACAAGCCGACGGCCGTTCCTCAATCGGAGCGTATTGACGCCAAGCGAATCTTGACACCCAAGGACTTTGAGCGCATCGAAATGCTCAAGAAGGAAGCCGCCGAGGCGGCCAAGGACCCCAAGGCTCGCCGAAAGCGCAAGGCGGAAGCAGTCGAAAAGAAGGTGCTGGAGAGCAATCATTCGACCGTGGACCCGGCGACGCTGGAGGGGTACTCGAAGAAGAAGCGCCAGACGATGGAAGAGCGGCTGCGGTCCGTGCTGGAAGGTCGCGAGAACTACAAGCACAAACAAAAGGGCGGCGGCACGACGAACCGAGAAAAGGCGCGACTCAAAAACTTTTTGATGTTGAAAAAGAGCATGCATGTCCAGTCCAAGGTCCTCAAGTCGACGCGGGAGATTCAGCACATCAAGAACAGAACGGTCAAGGCCGTCACGAAGCGCGACTCAAAGAAGCGCCGACGAACGTAATCTACATCGACTCCTTTGTCCATCTTCCATTGTTCTCTTATATGTCTCTGAATGAAAAAGTCGTCCAGGCTGCCCGACACAAGCAGGACAAGGTGCTTGATGGAGGTCCCGCTGTCTTGAGCATCGGAACGACTGGGGATGGCTGCCACCATCGAACATCGTGAGCGACTTGTTTGCACAGACAACGGCCGGTCATGCGAGTGGTTTTGTGCGTGCCATTACGTGGACGAAAGAAGAGCGACGGCGACGCCAAGGACGACGTGCGCTGGAGACGCCACCGAACTGCTCGATGTGGCTACCGACAGAGGGGCTACAGTGGTGTGGGTCGTCGCTGGCGTGCTCGGCTGGCGTACGATGTCGGTCACTGCGCGTTCGCCTAGTGAGTTTCGTGCCACACATACATGGTGGCTCGCACCTGTTTCTCGCGTGTTGCTGCACGTCGCTGGCGCGATTCCAACGCGCTGCTTGTCCAAATCGAACACGACGTTGTGGTTCAGCATAACGTTGGCGCCAAGCACTAGGATGCCACGGCGTCGGTCAAGAGAGCTGCATATCGGATAACGTACCCCCTCCAATGCCGCCTCCTCCTTTTCGAAATCCAACCGTTTGGATCGAACTGCGTGGACTTGTGAGGATGTACTGCGCGGGAGGGACCACAAGATGCACGAACCCGCCTTCTTCCGCGACTGCTTCCAGGACGAACCGCAGCGTCGGCAATTTTGCCATTACGTCTGCAGGCACGACGGCAGTACCTCCGACTCCGAACGAAGGGTTGCCCGTGGCAGCTTGTAGAACTTGAAGCAGCTTGTCATGGACACCCGGGGGCAGTTGAGAGATGGTGGATCCGCTGTCAAAGACAAAGGATCGCCCAGTTTGACCACCAAACCCAATAAATGCCGTCCTGTCCAGTCCAAGGGACTCGTTCCCGACCAAGAGATCGATGACGTCGACGGAGTAGTACTTGTTGGCAGCAGGACGCACGAGCGGCGTATGCTTCATGGCACCCACGTTCAGGTGATCGCTGACACCGCCAAGCACGATCGTGCCAGCGCCGAGAGGGGCCAAGCAGAGTGAGAACGCGTTTCGACTGACGCGACCTTCTCGAACCATGGCCGCCAAGATCGTGGACGAGTCTTGCTGCATGCCCATGATGCCTGCTTCGGGATGGGTTTTGAACCCACCTGCAAACAAACTGCTTATCACTCAATCATGGGATATGCTTTGAATCCAAACGTGCGTACCAGTGACAGACGTCTGGCAGCCCACGACAAAGGAAACTCCGTTCGCTTGGACGTACGACGACGAGTGGCTCCCGTTGAAGTTTCCCAGCATGGCCAGTTCCGACACAAGAAACGCTTCGAAAGAGCTCGAGTCGGCGTACGTCTACATGAACGATGAGGTAGGTGTGCCGTGATCGGATCGATGACACATCCAACTCAAGAGTTGCAGGTTTCGCAAACGCTAGGTGGGGAGGGAGTTGTGAACTCACCTGGCCTCTCGTGCACTGCTGCGAAGAACACGACAAGCACCGAGAGTCGCTGCAGGCCAAGGGCTTTGCCGTGGTGGATTTCGTCGGGTCGTATGGAGGCCTATTGTGCACTCCGCAGTCTGTGCACCTAATTCATGGAAGAGCGCATCAGTTGAGGGACCGACGCCATGCAACATACGTCGCACACACGACAGCCGTGACGGCGCTTCCCGTGTCGATGACGACAGTCGCTTTCTGTGGAGGCACACCTAAGTACAGCTCCGCCGAGTGCGACCTACGCCATGCAATAGCGAATGCATTAGCCGAGATGAAGGCGAAACATGTTACGCACGAAAATGTTCCGTCTACCCGTTGTTCGTTGAACGGTGAACTTGCCTGCAAGCTCCGAACGCCAGGAACCGGACGTAGATCCAGGCGCACGACCTTATCTGCACACGCGATACATTCGACCACTGCCGAGAGCATTACGAGAGCCGCTAACGCCGTCGCCGCCGACGGCATCCTCATGTGCTGGTCAATATGCGTGTCCGGTCTGTAAAGGCTACAAGCGCTGGACTCAACTCGATTACCTTATATAGTGTATTCCTAGTTATCTGTCGTGCCGATTATTGTGTCAACTGCTTCAGAATACTCATCCAAGGAAATACTCACGTTTTAAAACTTCGACGTGTTTTAACTCTATTGCGTATGTCAAACATACGACATGACTAAAAATTCATCTGAACGAAAGTGGAAAACAAACTCCCGCCTTCGCCTTTAGTGAGTCGTGGTGGACTTCCTGCAACGCTGATACTGTACGTTTAAACTTATGACGCGACTATATACTACAACATTTTCGGTCGAAGTTTGTTTTGTACTACGTAGTACCTACCATACACAGGCGGGGTCTAGGTTAAACATTTACTCAAATAACCATGACGTTTAACAATTAAACGTAGACATTTTCGAACGCGTATTGCAGATTACAGGCAGTGATTCCTCACTGTACGGTGCAGTGAAATCCAACTTTACCGTACAATTTTACAAGTTGGGTTGAATCAGACGTTGCTTTTCCTCGGTCGTCTTTCTTGGCAGTTCTCAAATGCATGACAATCATGACAGCAACGACGCCAGCAACCCCCAGTCCGCCCAGGAGCATTTGGTCGGCAGGCATACCGATCCATCGGCCGTCGACCCGACTTCTAAGAGACGCAGTGCGCGCCGCGGTCTCTTGAGCTTATAATTCAGGATCGCCCATGTGCCAGTCTTCGAGCAAGATGCACGACTTCAATCTTCGGTTCGTTCCATTCTGTGTCGTAAGGATCTTTCGGGTTGTGGCTCTCAAACATGAGCGTCTGAGAGACTCCATACGGCACTGGAGTGGAGGTTCCAGCCGTCGCAGCATGTGACAGGAGCGCCATGGCGACGATAGCCGACGACAGGGCGACCACACGCTGCATGCTGCGTTGACGCCAGGATGACAATTGGGGAAGTGAAACGCTTCGTAGTAACACCAAGTCATGACAAAATTCGGATAATTCGAATCGAGCCAATCATGGAAGATATTATCCGGAAGATATGCTTCCACCGCGCAAATTCACAGTCACCCCAGCAAGTCGACAAATACAGCTCGACACCTAGAGCTCGGCTTCGGTCTTCTTGGCGCGGAAGAGGCGGCGGGCGCGGCGCCAGAGGCCGTCGTTCGTGTAGACAACAACGCCGAGCACGACCGTGACCACGACTCCGACGGCGAGGACGCTGACATGATGTGGTTTGCGCGAATGTTGCCGCAAGTGTTGGTTGTTCGCAAGGACCAGAGGATGGGCAGAAGTTGTTGCCACTGGCAAAACGACACGAGTCGTGGTGGTGGGTGTGACCGTTGTCGGGGGTGGCATCATGGTGTACCCTGGGAGAAGTGCCTCGACAGAAGATGCATCCGAGTAGGGAACCCAATGGAGCTGCTTGCACGACCCCTTGTCCTTTTGTCCCGGTTCGAACGTGATGCCAGCAAAGTCAAGGTATTGGTGCAGTGTTCGTGCCGTGCCCCACGGGTACTTGTCCAGCTCGTACGAATCCATGAGACCCTGGAACGGCCACCCCACGACAAACTTGAATCGGTTGATGCCCATTTCTTCTTCCCTCTTCCTGAGATTCGCGTCGAACTGGATGTGTTCAAAGCGAGCTGGCACCGACGTGTAGTTGTGGTACACGACTGACCCGACTTTGCTAGGCGAGTACATGTCGTACCCGTGCGTCCACAGGTGCGACGCACGCAAGAATTCTTCTCCGTCAAACACCCAATGATTGTGGTTGTCGATCAGAACTCGCTTCTCCGCATGACATTTGCTGAAGGAGAGACCTGCTCCCCACAGCGCCGCCATTTGAGGGTGCTTGGGCTGCAAGATCAAATCGGCGCCGATACTGCGCACAAGGCCGTTGCCGCCGCGCATCGTCTGGCAAATGTGCGGCAAGTGATCCGGCGCTACGTCGATTGCACAAACGTTAGTGAATGCTTGCCTCTAAAGACTTCTCGCACCGCGCCGGCAAATATACGATATCAACATGGACACATGAATGCGGTCGCGTGGGCTGGCAACCCATCGCAGCCAATTTCAACGAGACAAGTGACGACATAACGAGGCAGCACACTGGCAGGCGGTCACGGAACACTCAATCCACAAGACTTACGCTTGTTGGTGCCGTCGTCCCCGACGAAGTTGTTCAGGCCATGAAGATACGTTGTGAGGACGCCCATTTCGTTGTTGAGAGTTGTCCAGTCCTTGACAATGCCGACGTCCCAGTCATTCGTGAACACGCTGTGCGCGTCAAGCTGGAGGCAAAACTCTTGGTCGCCCACCAGCTTTTGCTGGTAATGACGCGCCAACGTCGGGCCGCGTGAGTCGTTGGCAACGCGCTCGTCCACGCGGACTTGGGACCTGTACTTGCACTCTTCGTTGGGCCATTCGACCTTGGCCAGCTTGCAGTACTCGTCGATGCACTTCAAGTCGCCAGGGTTCACTTGATCGACAATGCCAAAGTGCAACCGGTCTGGGTTCTTTGCCCGCTTGAAACCTGTGAACACCGTGTATCCACATCGAACGCCGTCGCGGAACACGGACAGGCCCACGAACATTTCAAAAGTCCCGGGAATACGAGGTGGCGGAGGTCGAAGGTGCGACAGTGTTGGGTCCAACGGAATGTTCTGCGTCTCGGGGTACAGCGTGACGTCCGTGTTGGGCAACTTGTTCTCCTTGCTGTACGGGTCGTCGCCGTAATTTTGATACGTCAGGGTATGCTTGACGCCAAATGGAGGGAGCGTCTGGGCAGCGGACATGCCAGCAGCGGCGTCTGCTTCTGCGGATGCCGCGCACCAAAGCGCTGCAACGATCGCGGCGGAACGGATTCCGATTCTCATCCCTGGCGAAAGCGCAAATGCCCTGAAGTGCTGACGTGGGACATCGGGAGAGCCGGGCCACGAGGTACGGTGATGTCGAATTTAAATGAATGGCGGGCAATGTATTCAAAAAATGTAAGGACTGGGTAAAATTTTTATTCTTGCCACACAGTTTTCAATTTGACGGATGGCGCGAAATCTGGCGGTCGAGGACGACATGCCGCCGTCTGGTCCGCGGGACTGCCTTGTACAACCGCAATCTTGTCGAGTTATGTGGAGGTCGATTGTACGCGCTCCATTGTGTATGCACGGCGACACGCTGTATTGCGTATCTTGAGCAACGCATGCGGCGACTCGATTCACGTTAACGACGTCGTTCTTTCTGCATGCGCGTCGTACGACACAATCGGCGAAAACGAAGCCACACACCGTCCTTTGTGTACAATGCCAACATCAATAGCACGACCAGGCCTGCCATGACCAGCAAGGCACTTCGACCGGAGGAAAGACCTGCAGAAGACGCCGTGGTGGCATGCCCGTTGGCACTGTCATCACCGTGTCCGACGCGTTGCTCCTTCCGAAGGTTCATGGCAGCTATGGTACTTGACGGCCACTTCGTCGATGCATCCGTGAAGACTGGTTGATGGGTTGTGGCTCCGACGGATCGAGAGGTGGATGGTTCACGAGTATAAGGCTGCCATGTCGCCGCCTGGATCGAATTTCTCGATGTCAGTACGGGAGACAAGCTGGCTACGTTGGGTGCAGTTGGCGAAGAAGGCACGTGAATCGCCGGAAACATGGTCCACCCGGGCACAACGGCTTGGACCTCGGCCGGGTTTGAAAACGGCACCCAGTGCAATTGAAAGCAACTCTGCCGATCGCGCAACTTGGCAGGGTCCACTCCCGAAAACGCCACATACTCTTCAAAAGTTCTCGCTGTGCCCCAAGCATACTTCTCCCAGTCCTCGTCGTGCACTGGTCCTTCGTACGGAACTCCCATCCGCTTCCTCAGACGGTTCAGGCCGGCTAACGTTTCCGCACGCTTGGCAGCTTCGTTCACCTCGACATGTTCAAATCTACATGGTGGCATTCCATCAGTTGTTTGCTCAGCACCGGCCCAGCACCGTGCAGACGAATCGAAGCGCTCAGCCCGCGAGCCATTGTTCACCATGTAGCCGTCTACCGGCAGCGGATCCGTCATGGTTTCCGAGACCTACCGCTTGGGAACTGCCGTATAGTTGTGGTACACCACGGTCCCAGTCTTAGTTGGGGAATACATGTCGTACCCGTGCGTCCACAGCGACGCCGCGCGATAAAACTCTTCGCCGTCAAACAACCACAACGTGTGCGGGTCGACGGGCGCGCGCTTCTCGGCGTGGCACTTGCCAAAGGAAAACCCAGCTCCCCACAACGCGGCGAGCTGCGGCTGCAGCGGCTCGACCAAAAAATCCGCCGCCACGATCCGGACCATGCTGTCGCCTTCGCTGCGCATGGTTTGGCACAAGTGCGGGAGGTCTTTCGGCGCTACCGTTACGAGAGTGAGTGGGCCTGGCCTCTTCAGCACCGGGAAACCACATCATCGTGCACATGGCCCAACGAAGACGATGGCAATATTCCCATCGGCAGACGTACGTGTGTTTTGGCCGTTCTTGGTGATGATGGCACAGTCAGGGTCGTATATATACGTGGACAGAATCGCCATCTCGTTGTTGGCGGCTGCCCAGTCGGCGACGAGAAAGACGTCCCAGTGCCAAGTGAACACGCTGTGGGCATCCAACTGGAGACAAAATTCCTCGTGTTGGATCAACTGTTGCTGGAAATGCCGCGCTAGTGTCGGCCCGCGCGAGTCGATCGCGCGCCGTTGGTCCACTCGAATTTGATGGCGGTATTTGCAGCCGTCTTCGCCTGGCCAGCGGGCCCTAGCCAAGTCGCAGTACGCGTCCACACACCGCACGTCGTCTGTCGCGACCTGGTCCACCACGCCAAAGAAAACACGAGATGGGTGAGCCGCACGCAAGAAGCCCGTGAAGAGCGTATACCCACACCGCACGCCGTCCCGGAACGACGACAGCCCGACAAACACGTCATACTGTTCAGGGACGTGAGGCGGCGGCGGTCGTAGCTGGCGCTGCGTCACATTCAGTGGAACGTGCTGACTTGCTGGGAATAAATCGACTTGATACGGCTCGAACTCGGGGTGCTCGTCGTCGTTGCGGTCCTCCACTTCCAGGACGACCTTTGGGCCCATCCTTTCGTCAGGGCTCAGAGACCGAATCTTGGGTTTCATTAGCGCTTTGGCTGGCCCTGCCGCGACGGCTGAAATCACGACCAGGACGAGAAGCGCATGCGTCATCGCGATGGTCCCCACGTGGCGAACGCCCTGATAACGCAAATTGCGTTGCAGTTTTTGTGCAACCTCTAAATAGTGTGAATTGCACTTTCTGCAGCACGGGCCAGCCGGCGGCGATCGCGGGGAGAGCCACGAGATCTGCCGCATCGTGCAGGGACTGGCGAGCGGCGACTCCTGCATGTACACCCTCTTCATACGACAGCCTCAGGCACTGGATGATTCGAGTACACCAGGGACTGCTCTCCGACTCGACGACCCCTTGTGATACGAAGTAGTACACCGACAAGTCAAGGAAATCCGCTTGCCGGTGTGGAGTGACACGAAGCTTCGGCTCGGCCACCTGCTGACCAGATCCAAAGGATGTCGACCCGTTGCTTTAGCAACTCCGTACTGATCGACGTGTGGGGCCGACAACCGCCCTTGCACGTCCACGTCCTTCGCAATGGCACCACAAAGCATGGGATGACTGCGCTTACACTACAACTTTGACACGTTCCGCCCGACTTGTCGTGCGGTGGCGGTGTTGGGCTGGCCATGTGGCATCGTTGGCATGAGCACGACACCCAGGAACGACTGGAGCATCATGGCGCCCAATTCGGGAAATCCGTCCATCAAGGCGAGGAGGATTTCAACATGGCCTCGAGGAAATGGCGTCACGACGGCCTTCGCGCCAATTTGATTCTACACATAGTGCCGCGAGTGCGCACACGCCCAAGCTGGAATTCCAACGCACCAGATGCGCGGCAAACTTTTCCGACGCCGTCAGCGGCACCACCTACAGCAAACTCTGACACGGGGCATTCGTCACCACATCAACTTACAAAATCGTCTACGCCATGGAACAGGTGGAACGGCGGGAGCAACCGCGCATCCAGGTCTACGAAGATCACGTCCACATGCAAAACCAGGTTGACTAGGTGACGTACGGGCATCCTTCACGACGAGGGCAGTGGGGCTGAATGTAGAAAAGTGCCGCGGGCCGTGGAATGACGGGTACAGTGGCGAGATCGAGTGTGCTGCATGGAGAATCGTTGGTTGAGCGCGTGGCACGGCGACGCGGGCACAGTACCTCGTACAAATGGCACAATTTCTCGATTTTGCTCAAACGCGTAGTGGTCCGTGATGTCGTACGGGCCACTGAGGCCCACAAAAGCTTGGATGTGGTGGACCACGTCGATGTCGTTGGCCTAGAGCGCATTCAAAGAATTGCACAACAGAAGCGGCATTCGTACCAGAGTCGGAGCCGCGCGACTGCATCGAATGGCGGACTGTACAAGCAGCAGAGCACACAGATGCGCACCTACGGCCAAACAAGTGTCGATCGAGCAGCCGGGGAATCGGCACGTACCAGACGAGTGACCACTCAACGTAATACGTTTCGGGTCGCCGCCGTGCGTGGCAATGTTCTCGACCGTCCACTTCACCTAAAAAATGAAGCCACGCACGGCATGAGCCAAGCGGTCCATCGACATGTTCATGCGAGGTAGGCGTACAATGGCCTCGAGATCGTGCATCATTTCGCCAACGTCGCCATGCGGAAAGGTTCGATAGCTGGGCACGACCGTGACGATGCCATGTCGCTCCAGCGTCTCCCCCACGGCGCCGTAGTGGAACTTGGAACTCAGTGCCCACGCGCCGCCATGAATAAAGATGACCACGGGCTTGAGATGGTCGCTTGGCGACATGGATGTGCCGTACAGGTCCAACACGTTGCGCGCGTGTGGGCCATAGCGAAAGTTCGTCGTCGACATGCGCAATGCACACGCTAGCGTACGCAGGGCCAACTTCGGCGCGGTCAGCCCAACGATCAGGTTGCCCGCGTCGCCCAATAACACAATCGTCGCATAGACCCACGAACTGCGCATTGCTCTGAATGACGTTTGATGGGGGAACCGCTTGCGCAAGAGGACAAAGCTGCGATGCACTTGCAAGAGATGTTGCCACAGCGTGTACGCTACCATCGCCAGCACGACCCTATGCCATGAACAGTCAGCTCTCACCATGGCGTGCCCATTATCTCGTTATACTTGGCGCGACTAGATGGAGTTGAGGCCGTTCGTTGCAGCGGGCCGTCGCTGCTGGCAAGGGCAGCGCCGACGTCGATTCCTCGAGGCGACACACGGTCATGTCGCCGCAGCATGGTCCGTTTCAACGAATGGAACATCAGCGATTGGTCTAAATAAAGTAAATCCCAACTTTTGATTGGTCAAAATGACATGTACCAAGGCAAGATTCACAACCAAGGCGCTCCCGTTTCGGTTCGCGTGGCGCATGGGACCATCCCTGGGACCCATTGCGCGGTGTATGTTTACTGACGCCCGTGTGCCTTTGACAAGGAATCGACTGTTTTCCGGGGACGTGTCATGGCCAAATTGTTCAACTTTGGCATGGCCATCGTTACCTTTGTCGACATCCCTGTGCATTGCATCCACATCGGGACGTCGTGGCGCCATCAAAAGAGTGTGCCCTTGCGAACTCTAGATAGTACTGGACGCTCGGCTGCTTGCTTTGATGGTCATAGCGCACGTCCTGCCATGCACATGACGCTCCTTTTACAGTGGCTTGACCTCGCCTCTCGCTTTTGCCGTCGACCTGGATGGGGTGCGAAATACTTGTGTCAAAGTGATTGGCCAAAAAGAATTGTGTCATGGTTTTTGAGCGAAAATGATTGGCCAAAGCATCTGGGGTTAAAAATAGCTCCACCAACGTGCACCTACCTACCGTGCGACAGCAGCACCGCCGCGCCGTTCCGTAACCTGCACATTTGTCGGCTGCTCCATGGGCAGGCCGCCGTGCCTGCCTCTAGTGCGTCGTCTGCGTCTGCCAGGACCTGCATTTGGTGGAGAAATGCACCGAAACCAACTGTCGATCGAGTCGACCCTGGCTCCATACAAACTCATATATATGTTGGGTATCGCCGGAACATTACTATGGCCATACAAAAACCAAGATAACCTAACCTACAACCCAGCAGCGCACATCTGCCGTTTTGGCGACGGAAAGTTAGGCGATGAGCCCGCCGGAAGACAAGAAGACACCTCTCGTGGGCGGCCACGAGCCGTCGGAGGATGCTTCCGTCAGCATGTCGTACCAGACAGGTATTGTTAGCGTATATGGACGCCATCGCGCTGACTCTCAGGTTGGGTTTAGAGGAACTTCGAGGTACATGAGGCCGCGCCACGCAAGATGCACGAGCGCTTTCACCGTTGCGTAGGCTACCTCTTGAAGAAGACGCGCAACGGGAAGTGGCAGAAACGGTGGTTCGAGACGAACGGTTGCTTCCTCACGTACTACAAGGTGGCCGCCACGGGTTGGGGAGTTGACGACGATGCCTCACGTGTTTGCGTTGGTAGAAACAAGGGCAGAAGCTGCTGGCCGCTCTGAATTTGCCGCAAGTGGGGGAAATCGTGACCCTACCCGAGGACACGGAAGACGGCCCGGGACTGTTCTCGATTGAGCTCAATGAAAGAATATATACGATCAAAGCAAAGCATCAGGAAGAAGCCGCGCTCTGGGTCGAGGTGAGCATGTCGACCTCCCCGCGATGGTAGCGTCTCACGATCGACATATGCAGGCGCTCGTGTGGCGTCAAAAAGGCGGAGTCGTCGCCCAAGCAAACGGAGGTTTGACCCTACAACCCAAAAACCTTCAACGCGTGTGCTTCATGTAGACGATGCACTGTTCCTGCATGCAGCTGCTTCCACTGGAGACGACGCAGACTTGTCTCCCAAGGCCCCCACGGTTCAACCTCCCCAGCCCCTTCCTCCAAAGACCAAAGAGGTACGACTGGCAGCCACTCTTCGTCCCATCGACGCCTCTTTCATCTGCCATGCATCTCTGTGTCTGGGCTTCTTGACGCATGTCCCCAGGTTGAAGAAACCCAAGACGTTCGTCGATGTGGCTGTGGCTGTGCCATTCAATAACGTAACAAGAAGGCTGGCATGATCTCCGCCGGGTGTTCTTTAATGAATGGAT